TAGACAAAATCGGTCGAAATGTGCAACCCCAAGTAGAACACAGAAGTCATGAGGACATCATCATGACCTCATTCGTCACTTATAAGTCAATTTGTAGATATCAAATGTATGACATCATGATGACGTTCTGTGATATCATTATGACTTAATTATAATTCCGTGTTCTACCTGGGACCTGACTTCAGGCCTGTCCTACATCTTGGAAAATTTAGTCTGCGTTATAAAAGAAATTATAATTTGAACACAAACTCTAATTTGATAACAATAAATACATTGTCAATATATGCTTAAAATTTAATTTTTAATTAATTTTCCTGCGTTTTACACGAGATCCACAGTATTCTATCTCTGCCTTGGTAACAATTTTACAGATCTGCATTTTAATGTCTGCTTGTACTTCATTAGGTAAATTCAACACAGTCTGTGCCATACTCTCAAAAAATAATTCAATACTATTCTTGTTAGATTTGGATATTGTCTTACTACTAGTACGCGAACCTTTATCATTACTATAATTTTTATCACTATTAGTATTACTACTACTTTTATTATTACTACTACTATTATTATTACTATTATTACTATCAGTGTTATTATTGTTATTACAATTATTTTTTACTATGATATCTGGCTTTTCAATTTTCACAATTTTATCAATTTTATTTTCATCAGTTATTGGTATAATATTTATGGTTTTACTTTTATTACTATCGTTAATGGTCTTACTATTAGCAACTGTTGGGTTAATGGTCTTACTGTTGACCATTGTTGTGTTAATGGTCTTACTGTTGACAACTGTTGTGTTAATGGTCTTATTGTCAGTATCGCTACTAAAAACGTCACTGTTATCATTGCTAATTGGTTTGATATCTTTTATCTTGTCAGATTCATCTGAAAGTGTAATGTGTCTAACGTGTGCAATGTAACCTTTTTCTTTCATTGTACTTGGTAGAATAACGCGATTTGATGGTAAAGTAGCCATATTCATTATTGGCAATCCAAATTTATGTCTCAGTATAGTTGAAGTACTAGGTTGTAAAGGTTTCGGCCGAATTGGGCGAAAACGGTTCTTCTTCAAAGTTTTCAAATCTACCTTCACATCCGTGGAATGACTTTGCTTTGACAAGGCTGAGATTTGTGAATTGTTGCTGTATTTACCTCTACCTCTACCTCTACCTCTGCTTCTTCCTCTGCCTCTACCTCTACCTCTACCTCTAATCTTCGTTGGCAAAATGGTAATATCAGCGTGTTCTTTTATTGAGGGAACTTCCACAAAGTTGATATTTAAATTTTCAGGCTTGAAATTTTGTTCAGATTCCATCTCGATTTTGACAATGCTTTGATCGATTTCTTTATATGTTTGGGAGCATGCTGTCTTATCCATTTTTCGATTATCAAAAATCGAACTTCTTTAAAATCTTCTAAGTTTATGTTATTCATTAATCCTGCAACAAAAAATATTCTGCTATAAAACATGTATCGCGTAACATTTTTATATTTAAAAATTTCGGATTATTTCTTTAAGTCATAATTATGACCCTTTGCAGTCCTATGTAGAGCTGAATATTTGCTCTCTTTCATTTCTATCTTCAAATATATAAGTTAGTACATTATAATGAGCAAATAATATTTTCAAAATTTCCATATAAATTTTTCCAAATATAATAGAATATCTTTAATTCAAATTAAATTAAAAATAAAATAATCCTCGCTCATTTGTGAGAAACAACTTGGAAAAAGTTAAAAACAATTGTATTTTTATCATATTCCTAAAAAGGAAAAAAGAAATAGCTTTTGATTTTTTTCATGTATGACGTATTGATAAAAGAAAACAAACATCTTTGCACATATCCTCTACGTTTAAAAATTAAGAATGTGTGATAAACTTTTTTTTGTTTATATATGCATATATTTTTTTAATGAAAATATCTTATGCATGCCAGAGGCATAGAAGGATGCTAATTGTGATTAAAACTAAGCTATTATATATTTAAGTGCATGAGACTACTCTTTTGTCAATTCTTAAGTTTACATCGCATTGCACGTACGGAGTATCATGTTGAATATCACAGCCAACCACCATGTTGTAACCGGTGTAATTGTGGAAACGACACAGGAAAACACGTAATATTCGCGTAGCAAAAACCGAGTTCACAATTGACAAAAACGACGAATTTACGTTAGTTTCAAATCGCGTCAACTTTGATTTTCCCAAGAGATCGATTTATTCGCAGCACAGTACCGTGATATCGAAATTGCAAAGCAACTTTTTTCGAAATAAGACGCAGTTGATCGCGTTCAATGGAAATAATAGTGAGGCTATCGGTAGCGTCGAACGGTGATCGAACACGATTGGTTTTCGCCCAGCAAATTAGCCGTGGGTATTACATATCTGAGACGCGACTATTCGTTGACGCTGAACGCGTCGAATGAGATTTGTCGGACCGGCCAGATCTAAAAGTAAGAGCCAATCATATTAGCTGCTCGACGAATCGTATTGTGGTACAATAGAAGATGGCAAAGCGTATTCGACAAGTTATTTTCTTGTCCGTTGTAAGCTACTTTGAGGATGGTAAAGCTTCTGAATAAATTTACGTTGTTTTCACAGTAGAATAATTAAAGATAATTGAAAAATAAATATTTTGACTGATATAAATATCTGAATAAGCTTATATCGCATTATTAAATTGATGTTTTATTATATATATGTATTTATCACACGCACGCACGCACGCACGCTCGCGCGCGCGCACACATACAATAATTATCATACAGCTTTATTATTATGCAATAAATATACATATTTAACTAACACTATACTCTAATACAATAATATATATAATATATATTTTACATTTATTATATATTATATAAATATAATATATATATAATATGCATATTATATATGCATATGTAACATAAAATATATTATATATCTATATTAGTAATAAAGTAATAAAATTAATATTACAAGTTAATCCTAAATTTTGTGTGTGTGTGTGTGTGTGTGTGTGGTGCAATTTATATATCTCTATCAAATATTAAACAAATAAATATAAGTATTAAATTTATTTTACAATAGCTCATACTAATATATAATCTTCTTTTTATTTTACTAATTTTTAATTCGCCTTATTTTAATTTTCTTATTTTTAAATTCATTAGTTTAAGAAGTTTATTCCTTAATAAATTCGTATAATAATTTGACAAAGACTGTTAATCGAGAGGCTTTAACTTATATTGAAGAGGAAGAGAAGAAAGAAAAATCGGAAACTGATTAAAAAATTTCCTAACATTTGTATACACCTTCGCTGTAATAGTTAAATCAAAAATTTAATGAATGAAAAAAATAAATTTTTCATTTGTCTCGAATTGTATTTCTCATTTTCCTATTCGAAGAAGAAGATATTGACATATGCAAGACATTTCACAAACACGTATTCAGCTATGAGAACATCGTAGAATTATGTACAAGTGATTTTAAATAAAAAAAATTTATGACAATATACATATATACGTTTAATTGATAACTTAATTTGAGATAAATTTAAAAACTTAAATTAAAATTTAATTTTATTGTTAAATTAAAATTATGTAAAAAGGCTCAATAAATTAAATAATATAACAAAGAAGGGCTACGAGCCTGAAACAAATCATTTAATATAAATTTCGACTTACATAAGAAAATGAACAATAATATAAAACATACGTTTCGACCAGTATCAGGTCATTCTCAATGTTGACAAAAAATAAATATTGTAATATAAAAATTAGAAATTATAAAATTCGTTAACATAATGAATAAATCCTATCTTAAGCTGTTCAATAAATACTGGCAATCTAGGTCATATATGTCCAATTAGATAAAAAAGTTTCCTCAACATAATGATGTCTGTTCGCTTTATTGTTATTATTAATATTTTCATTAATGAGAGATAGGCGTTATCGATCCGATTGGCGGATCCTGCCACTTAAATTCCTCTTGATAGGTGACATAAACTACCCAGTAGCAGACATTGAGTAGACCGAAAGACGCCGGGAAGACTATCCGCGCCACCCTGTCAATGTAAGATACGCTATTTATGTGTCTCCTCGACATACGATCGCCGCGTTTTCGATAGTTGCTAGCCACTTCCCGCTGCCGGCGACGCCTGTAATTTTAGATATTAATTGTAGCACAATATAGGTGTAACTATTAATAAAAAAGAAATAAATAAACAGAAAATAGTTATAAGATAAATAAGATAAATATGTATAATAGAATACTTCATAATTTACCTTTAAGATTTTAATTTAGCGACAATCTTGTTAATTAGTAATTAATTTATAAATGGTAGAAATGAAAAAGTAGTAATAAAAATAAATAATAAGAAGAAGATAGAACACTATATTAATTAGAATCTCTTAAAAAATTGAACAGAGATACTGCAGTGCGATATCGTATACTCTATAAAATTTGTTTTCTTAATTCATGATATACCTGAAAGCTTCATCTCCCGCTAAGCAATAAAGAAACTGCCTCCATATCGGTAAAATAAGTTCAGTTTGCGTCTGCCTCTCCATCGTTGACGGTTTCGAAGAAACAGCGACCGTGATGGAATGACAGGAGTCTCGTTCGTATGTGACGCTGTCCTGCTAAAAACGAAATTGAATCAGCAACGATGCTACTGATATTTCATAAAATAACTCTAAGAGAAATTGTCGGAGAAATTGTTTATTTATAAGAAAATAAAAGAAAATTAAGTATTTTTAGATTAGTCTCTGATGAAAAAAACGAGTATTTTAATATATTTATATTTATGATATATATAACGAGTAATTTATTATATATACATATATAGGAGATAAAAATGTATTGAATATATGTAAAAAATTAAAAAATTATGTAAAAATTACAGATTTTTAATAATGTATTTGGAAATAATACAAAAAGTTTTGCGGCGATTTAGAACTTGGATTAAAAATTATATTTCAGTAAGTAGAAGTTTTTAAAAAATTAATATATAAAGTTTGAAACTTTTCATTTAAACTGTAAAATTGTGTTGTTAAATATAAATATTGATCTTTCTCTTTCTCTCTCTTATTGAACCGTTTTATATATATAACATATATATAATCGTTTCGTTATGCATTCACTTTTATATGAAAGTATAAATCTTCAATTTCAATCATTTTTTGCAGCTAGACTATACATCTGTCGTTAATTCTTGCATTTTAATAATTTATAAATTAATCTTCTATGAATTGATCTGTTTTTAGGAAGAACTAGAATACACACAATATATAATGGTCTAGAAATATCTGAAGAACATTCTATATTTTAAAAAATCTTTTAGACTCTCTCCAATATCAAAATATTGATATTGATATTATGTCTTTGATATTGTTTAAGTGGCCTTATTATGAATTGCAGTAATCTTTATTGAAATCTTGAACTAACATTGTATAGTGCGGATATGAGAGAACCACGCTTTCTAGTACTCGTATCGATAATTTCTGGATGAACTGCCTGAGGGCTGCAAGAAATCATCGAGTGAAATGTATCCTCGAATTCCTCGCTAGTGATCCCCTTCCATTCTTCCCATTCATCGTCGTCCAACGGAATCTCGCCGCTACCAACCTGACAATTGTTCAAAATTAAATTGATAATATTGACTCAATAAATTATATTTTTTTTCCTATGTATATTTTTAATTAAAGTTGCGAAAATAATATAATTTAAATATTATTTGAATAATATTTTCCACAAACATATCCTATAAGCGCAAAATGTTCCTATAGAATGTTATATGGATATTATTAAAAAATTAAAATATGTTATTATAATATTTCGAGAATAGCATAAATATTTTTTTAATATTACGGGAATATTCTATAGAGGTTATATGTCCACTTATATAATACTCTAGGTATTATATCTTAATATTCCTGAAACATTATTAAAATACTTATAAATATTAATTATTTTTAATTTTGTGCAATTTGAATTCACAATCCAGTAACGAAAAGTTCTTATCAGTCTATGCTGCATCTTGTGCTAAAAAACGTTTCGACGTGATTTTAAGTACATATCCAGTTCTACAACTGTGCGCCAAAATCATTTTCAGTTTTTAAACTTATACTGAACAGATGTAACAGTTTTACAAATTAAAGTAAATGTGTTGTTATAATACTTTTAAAAATTCTCAGAACTTTATGAGAAGAAAATAAATTTTAATCTCTCGTTGTTTTTCTGTAAAGTTGATGGTATTTGAATAAAAAATTATTGAAAATCAATATTCAGCGATTTTTAGTAATTAATATCTCGTTAACCATTGCGAAAATTGCAAAATGGTAGAGAATTTTTCGATTCAGTTTAGTCCGCTCTATCTATACAAAAGAGATTGGCAAAAACTTACGGAACACTATATATCTTTTCTTAAAAGTCCCCATACAAGGAAGTGATTGAATACATAACAAAGTATCGTGATTACGTAAAATTATCACCTTCGTGAAGTAATGAACGCCGGCGAACTCCAAGAGAGTGGCGATGCAGTAACCGAAACTCATCAGTAGGAACCAATCCAGAGCGGTAGCGTATCTAACTTTCGGCAAATCCGTTCTGGAATCGAGGCTTATTGTCGATAACGTCAAGACGGTGGTGATACCTGGAAAATTTAGGATACAATGTTATCTGCGTAAGGCTAGGTTTTCTATTTAAGTACCTAAGGCACATACAGTGCCTAGAGCTTATAAAATTTTCAACGCTTCTAAATTTAAGAGAAGAGAAAATGATAAAGGCGCTAAACGATTGTTTATATTCAAAGGATAAATTACAAATGTAAAAAACAATGAAAATGTAAAGAAAAGCGATAAAAAGAGGCGTCTTACAAAATGATTGCAAGTACCTAAACCCACTCGATCGCTCGTCGCTTCACGATGGATCCAAAAGGATACCCAACTCAGCACGACTATCAAAACGCACGGCACATAAACCTGTCGATGTAAGAAAGTCTTTTCGTTACTTTGCATAAAAAAAAGACATTTATTTATCATTTGCAATAAGCACTACGATTTACGAACGCTTACTTGTATGAGAAAGTATCCGGTGTGGCGTTGCAAGTTAAAAGATACTTGCAGTACCGAGAACTCGCCCTCGCGACGGAAAAACGTGAGATTTCTGTACGGCGAACCCATTAAATCGAATTGTGACAGCGCCATTCCAGGAATGAAATTTACCGACAAACCTTCCTGCCATTCATAGACAAGCTGTCCCGATGTATACGCGTCTAAC